ACACACACACACGCACACGCGTGCACATAGACACACACACACACACACACACACACACACACACACACACAGACACACACACACATACACACACACACATAAGGGGGTGGGGGTGGTGTCATTTGATTTATGTGGTCGACCAGGATATATGAGAATAACTGAAACTATTTTTAAACATTGTGAGGTCGAAGTTGGGTTGGGCTGTTGTTGTTTTTTGTTGCTGTTTTTTGTGTGGGTTTTTGGGGGGGTTGTTATTGTTGTTGCTGTTGTTGTTGTTGTTGTTGTTGCTGCTGCTGTTGTAGTTGTTGCTGCTGCTGTTGTGTTGTTGTGTTGTGTTGTGTTGTTCTTGTTTTAGTTTCTTCCCAATAAGAATAATTAGAATAAGTTTACCTTATTTTGTTTCAAATTGTGTTTTTTCAATTGCTTTCCACGAACACAGAACCTGTCTCTAACACATCATTATAATCGTAAACAAGTTCCGATATAATTAATTTGCTCGAGTATTCTGTTCTATTCACACCAGAGAGATTGAAAAAATAACAAGTGTTTGGTTTGAGAGCCCCGACACATATTGTTGCTAGCTTATAGAACAGATCGGAAGAACGCAACATTGTACCGGAGACAAAAAAGTTATTAGTTCTGAGGACAGGCACAAGGCTCTTCGTTTGTTATTTTGTCTTGTTATTTGTTTTTTTGTTTGGTTGGTTGTTTATTTGTTTGTTTGTTTGGTTGGTTTGTTTTATGTTTGTTTTTTGAGTGTGTTTGTTTTTTGTTGTCGTTGTTGTTGTTGTTTTGTTGTTGTTGTTTTTTGGATATTTTTTTTAATGGTTCACTTATGAGGGGGTGAGTTGAGGTGTGTATGTGTGTGTGTGTGGGTGGGAAGGGGGGAGGAGGGAGAAAATAAGACGCGGCCTTAGCTGTGAGTAGCCTCCATATCCACATAATTATTCACGTATTGCTGACTTATAGGAGAGATGAAAAGAAAACGGCCCATTCACTTGTTACAAGACACGCACGGGTTGTTACTGCACTTAGGTGTACACGAGGAGATTCGGACGACACCGGTTTTGTTGGGAGTATACCATGATGTAATAACAATAATATTATTATCGAATTATTTTGTTTTGTTTTGGGGGCTGTTTGCTTGTTTTGTTTGTTTGTTTGGGTGGTTTGTTTGTTTTTGTTTTTTTCAATCACATAATTCTGAAGGCTGTACTTACTGTTTGTTTTGTGTGTTTTGTTTAGTTTGTCGGTTATTTTCTTTTAAATCACAGAATTGGGGAAGATTGAAGAATACCGGACCACTCGTACATTATTGCGCGAGAAAGTGGGGTAGGTGGGGCGGGTGGTTGGGGTGGAGGAGGGGGGAGGGGAGGGTTCATGGGGGTCTCCCACCTGACAAAATTTTAATGAATAGATCTACCGGTCCGAGATTCTCCATTGAGAGATATTAAAAACGGGTAAATTATGAATTCCTACGGTTGAGACATAGGCAAAGTCAGTCCGCTGGTCCGGTATTCTTCAATCTTACCCAGAATTGTGAAGGCTGTACTTTGTGTTCGTTGGTATGTTTTGTTTGTCGATTATTTTCTTTTAAATCACAGAATTGTGTAGGCTGTACTCTGTGTTCGTTGGTAGATTATGTTTTGTTTGTTGGTTGAGTTTTTTCTGTTAAATCACAATAACTGTGTAGGATGTTCTTACTGTTTGTTGGTTTGTTTGTTTGTTTGTTTGTTTGTTTGTTTGTTTGTTTGTTTGTTTGTTTGTTTGTTTGTTGGGTGATATTTTTCAATGACAGAATTCTTTGGGCAGTACATAATGTATGTCTGTGTGTTTTGTTTGTTTGCTGGCTATTTGTTTAAATGAGATAATTGTTTTGGCTGTACTTACATGTAAGCGAGACGGGTCTGTCAGCGCTGTGAGTATGTAGAATAGTCCTCTGGGTGGGTGTAATCGTCCGCGTGAGTGTACTCGTCCGAGCGGTTGTAATCGTCCGTGTGGCTGTTGTTGTTGTTGTTGTTGCTGTTGTTGTTGTTGCTGTTGCTGCTGTTGCTAAAGGAGTCGCCGTAGCCATGGTGATGATGATGGTGGTGGTGAAGATGGCGATGTTGTGGCGACTCCTCGGCCGCTAGTCAGTGCGGCGGGGGCGAGTGTTTGAGCACCAGAGGCTGATGTTGCTGCTGTTGTTGCTGTTGCTGTTGTTGTTGCTGCTGTTGCTGTTGTTGTTGTTGCTGGTGATGCTGCTGAAGTTGGTAGTGGTGTGGCACTGGTGGTGGCGGGGAGTTAGAGACGGGGTGGTGCTGGGCGTGGTGCGGGTGTCCGCCGAGAGAGTGGGATAGGAGGGAGGAGACCTGAGACAGTGGGGACAGTACCGAGTGGTTGTTGAGGGAGTGGGGGGTCAAGGCGCCGCTGTACGACGTAGGCATCCCCGGAGAACCCCCGCCAGCCGCCCCGCTGTGGATGGGGCTGCAGGAGTCGTGGAGTGGGCTCCCGTCGTGAACAGACGACCCGTCCTCTGTACCGTCCGGCATGATGATCTCGCCGTTAGGCCCGATGTTTCCGGGAGGGGTCATCCTCTTTTCCTTCTGCCTTCTGTTACAGAACCACACTCGGACCACCTCTTTCTCCAGTTGGAGTTGGTCGGCGAGGTGCGTGATCTCCGGCGCTGAGGGTTTGGGGCACTTCATGAAATGACTCTCCAGCGCCCCCTTCACGGTCACTTCGATGCTCGTCCTTTTCTTCCTCTTCCTGCCCTGGGCGGCGATCTTGTCGATGTTTGTGGGGGACCCGGTGGTCGAGTCAGCTTCTTCCAGCCACTTCTGGAGGAGCGGTTTGAGTTTGCACATGTTCTTAAAGCTAAGCTGCAGCGCCTCGAACCTGCAGATGGTGGTCTGACTAAACACATTACCGTAGAGAGTCCCCAGCGCGAGCCCCACGTCCGCCTGCGTGAACCCCAGTTTGATTCTCCTCTGCTTGAACTGCTTGGCGAACGCCTCCAGGTCGTCGGAGGTCGGCGCGTCTTCGTCTGAGGGAGGGTGGGGGTCAAGGTCGTGCTCGGGCTCCCTCAGGACGTGGTGCATCTGGTGTGTGGGGGACATCATGCCGTTCATGTTCATGCCGTAACCCTGATGGTGCATCGGGTGCTGGGCGTTCTGTAGGGAGGAGAGGTTCTGTAGGGGCGGCATCTGCCAGTTGTGTTGTGCTACCTGCATCTGGTGGTGGGACTGTGGTCTGTGGTGCAAGGTACCTACGTGACCGTCCATGCTGCTCAGCTGGTTGACCTTCATGTCCTGGTGGTGTAGATGTCCGCCCATGCTTGACCAGTGGCCGGGGTCGCTGTGCGGGCTGGGGGAGAGCCAGGGGTTGTGTTGGGGCTGACCCAGGTGGGGGTTGTGACTGTGGCCGTTCTGGTGGTGCTGGGGCGGGATGTACTTCATCTCCGGCATGTCCCGATGGGGGGAGTACTGCTGGCCCGAGGGCACGTGCATCCCGTGGTTGGTCATGGGCTGACCGGTGTTGAGGGAGGACGGCACGCTAGGCGACAGGTAGAGTGAGGCACTAGGTGCCGCCATGCTGTAGCAATCCACAGCTATGGTGACGGGCGACCACTGGGGGCGGGAAGGAGAGTCCACTGTTGTCGCTATCCGCGCCGACACACTACATTCGGCGCTCTCATCAAGGAGAAAGAGGGGAAAAGACACGACGAAAAGTACACAAAGTTCAGCCAAAGTCTGGAATCACCAATAATAATATAGTACTAACTAGAACCAGAGAGAACTGTAGATCCTTCGTCTCTCACGAAACAAAAACTAGTTTCTACTATGGTTTTATTTTTCAAATCCGCATACGCAAACGCGTTCCGAAGCAATCACTTTCTCTATACAAAATCAGCTGTCCACGGAATTAGAATTCTGCCTAATCTACTTCCAGTCGGTAAGACACACACAAATAGTCACAAGCGGTCAGCACGGCCGATGTGTACACTTCACAATAGAGACTGCTGATCAGACTTGCAAAATCCAAGCTGTTCGTCTCCTGCCTTATTCATGCATTGTGAATAGTCGGAGCTCCCCGCTAACCATTATCATCCACGATGAGGAGGCGCAGGCGCCTTCTCATTGGTCGACGCTTCTGCTTGATTGACAAATCATTATGACCGATTAAATTACCGTCACTGGGCTAGGAGGCACGGGATTGGTTGATGCCCGCGTCACACAAACCGCGGAGACTTGCCCGCCCGCCCGCTAGCCGTATCGACCGCGACGAGAGAGAGAAGAGAGAGAGAGAAAGAGAGCGAGAGAGAAAGAGAGAGAGGGTGGCCTGCGAGACTGGGGATGTCGCGAGCTCTCTCTTCTCTCGTATCTTCCCCTAACGTGTTCTTCCTTACCTTGTCTTTTCTCCACACTCCCTTGAATATTGCTTGCCACAAATTGTACGTTCACCTCAGCACGCTGCACTGCATATAGACGAACGTTTCCAGAAAGTCAGAGAAAGAGTTCCGGAGAGAAAAAAATATATAACCACGCTAGACGCTATCCTGAAACTGAACAGAGAAGAAATAATATCCTCCTCGCTTCATCCACGTTCAGATACCAAACTTGGTCATGTTTTGAAACGCTCCGACGCCTGGCCGACCGACACAAGGGAAGTAAACGGAGAAAGGTGCGATAGTTGGGGGGCGGGGCGATTGTCGCCATGAGAAAAAGGGGGCCGGGCCTGAGGAAGAAGTGGGCAGGGCGAGAGTGCGGGAAAATGACAAGTGTAAAACAACGCCCTTGTGGCACAGGGGGTGATCGGCCGGGAACACGGACGGCGGAAGAGATAGCCATGTCACCGGATCTATAACTGTTCACCGTCCCCATCTCCTCTGCTTTCTGCTCTTGTTTCTCTGTCTGTTCCCGTCTCTCTCTCTCTCTCTCTCTCTGTCTCTCTCTGTCTCTCTCTGTCTCTCTGTCTGTCTGTCTGTCTGTCTGTCTGTCTGTCTG